GTAGTTTAGATTGGTAGTAAACAGAACATACATTTACCCTTTGGTGGGGGGATGGGGCCAAATCTTGGACTGGGCTCTGTCATTTTTAAACCAAACTGGGGGCACAGTTGCAGGGTGTATAAGTGTAGCTGGTGAGCATGGGAATAGCTGGGGGAGGCACAACTATGTGGGAGTGTGGGGTTGCCAGGCATGTTCATAGGGATGGAGGGGAGCTGGGAGGGGTCTCTGGGAAGCCTGGCAATGCCCATACCCCCCAGGGCCCTGCCAGAACAAGCCAGCCCCCCCAGGGGGTCCCTGCGCCCTGGCTCCTGGACCCCCCTGCATGAGGACATCAACCAGGTGGAGGAGCGCAAGCACGGCTTCAAAACCAGCGTGAAGAAGCTGATGCAGCGTCGGGCCAGCCCCCGTCGCAGCCCCCCTGGCCCCCTGCCTGCCCATGGAGACTCCCTCAAGAGACAGGAGGAGGGGGGGCGCCGTCGGTACACCCGCTCCTTCTCCTTCAAGGGGTTGCTGCGGAGGAAGGGCCCGGCCCAAGAGGAGCTGAATCCCCTTCCCCCCCCATCCCCCTCATCACTGCGCCCCACCTCCCTGCCTGTCACCCCCTGCTACTGCACAGACCTCCCCGCACTGGGACAGCAGGATCCCACGGCACACGGTAAGGGGCCCCAGAGGCACTGGCCAGGAGGAAACCCAGGTGTCCTAAGGCTCTAGACCCTGTTCCTCTCAGAGTAGGGAGAAAACCCAGGCATCTGGGGAGTCCCTGGTGCCCTGATCAAACCCACTAGACCCAATGTGCTATGTAGAGCTAGGAGGGAACCCAGGTGTCCTGGCTCCCAGCTTCCTTGCACTGGACCCTTCTGGCCTCTGGAAGCTGGGAGAGAACCCAGGCATCCCAGCTCCTGTCCTCCCTTCCCAGTCTAATCCACCAGATCCCACTCATGCCCCAGAGCAGTGTCCCGGCCCCCAGAGCCCCTACACTACATCATTGTGCCTTCTGGGAGCTGGGGGAAGAACCCTAGACACTCTGGCTACCAGCCCCAGCTCTATCCCACCAGACCCTACTCACATCCCAGAGCTGGGAGAGGACCCCCATGCTCTCCAGCTGGTGGGAGAGTCCAGATGTCCTGGCCCACAGCCCCCTGCTCTAACCAGCTCTGCCTCCCAGGCCAGCTGCTGCGGGACCCTGCTCTCTATGCCCGGGCAGCCCAGAAGCTGGACAAACTGCTGAAGCAGCAGCAGCAGCTGAATAGCCCTGGGAGCACTAACGGGGCTCCCTCCCCCAGGCTGGGGGCCAGGACCCCCGATGTCCAGCTGGGCATCAGGCACTCAGGTAAGCTGCCACCTGGGATGGGCAGGGGGCTCCCTGTCCTCTGGGGGAGGCTGAGTGCTCACAGGCCTGTCTTTGCCTCCAGCCCCGCCAGACCCCTCCTCGGAGACTGCCAATGAGCAGCACAGGGAGCAGGTGATCCAGAGACTCATCAGCCTCCTGGAAGAGCAGGCCAAGGACATCAATCGGGAGGTACTGGCCTGAGCCCCTGCACTTGTCAGCCAGTGCCCCTCACTCCTGACCTGCAGCCCCCTGTGCCCTCCCTGGTGCCCCTTCTGCCCCACAGACTGCCCCCACCCCATGCCACTCACTCCCAACCTCCACAAACCCAGCACAGGGCCCCTCCCCAGCCCTGTCAGTTTTCCCACACCTGCAGCCCCCTACTCCCCACAAGTCCTAAGAGCCACTATTATGCCCTCCCTGCAGTCCTTTTCCCTAGCCCTGCCAATTCCCCGACTCCTGACCCACAGCCCCCTTTGCCCTCCCCCAGTGCCCCTTACTCTGGACCTGCAACCCCCTGTTCCCTGCCTGTCCTGCCAGTGCCCCTCACTCCTAGCCTGCAGGACTTTGCCTCCTCCAGCCCCTCACTCCTGGACCATAGCCTCCTGCCCCCCCAGCCCTGCCGATGCTATGACATTTCCCCTCACCCGCAGATGGAGGCAGACCCCTTGCTGCGCAGCACCCTGTCCCGCATGTCCTTCCGCAGCTTCTCCCAGCTGGCCGAGGCCTTCACCGCCCGTGCGCCCCCCAGCAGCCCCAGCCCCCAGCTTGCACGCCTGGCACTCACTATGGAGCTGACCCGGAGGGTGGCCGGGATCAGCAACCATGCGGTGCAGACCCTCATGGGCTACAGCCTCCAGTACATGGAGCTCTTCGTGCCCTGGCTCCAGCAGCAGGGCGGCTGGGTAGGGGTGCCAGGCTGGCCTGGGGAGGAGGCTTTGCGATGGGGTGGGATTTGCATGAGGGACTGGTCGGGGATGGGAATTATGGGGGGAGGAGGGATCACCATGCCTAGGGAAGGGGCAGCTGGGTTGGGCTGGGGAGACCAGGGGACATGGGTTAAAGGGACACTCGGTCAGAGGGAATTGGGTGCGGGGGCCACATGAGTTGGGGGGGAACTATGAACTAGGGGGCCAGGCTACAGTGGAAGGAATCTACGGCTGTCTGTGGGCCAGGCTGGGGGGGTGGGGTTGGTCCATCTGGGCTGACCTCCCCCCTACAAGCCTCCTCCCCACCCCACAGGAGAGCATCGTGGGCCAGGATGAGCTCTTTGACCTCCAGCTCGACTAGGGGGAGGAGGAAGGCTGCAAGTTGGCAGGGGCAGGGGCTGGCCATCCACCACCCCCCCC